GAATATTGTGAAATTCAGAAAACATTAGCTGCTGTTGGGGCCATATGAGGGAATGTGCTAAGCGGTGAATGCTCATATTCAGATGCTTAAACTCGATCTTCATAGAACAAAGATAACAAACCAGAATCCAATAATGATTAAAATTTTGGACACATTTTGTCACTTTCTTATATTGAAGAATCCCCAAGAAGATAGCTAAAATGTGAGTGATTATAATCATGTAGAGCAAAGTAAAAATGAACAAATGTGACTTATATTTTGGATTCTTTCAAATAGCAGCCTTGACAGTTATATCAAAAATGTCTAGTTTGCTGAATAATTCACTTTGGTAACTGCATTTTTGCCCAACGCTAACACTGTAACCCTAACCATTATTAATATATGCCTAACTCCACCTTTGATCAAACATCAATTCATATCAAACATACAAACTTAATGATTTGAACTCAGTAGAATTGTAAAAAAGATAGATAAAAAAGTGAGGACAAGGAAAATGTCCTCACTTCCAATAAAAGGCCTCGATTATGGTGTGACAGTGTTTTTTGGTTCTTTATATGTAGCATGTATAAGCACACACAAACTCACAGCAGTCTTTCCTGGAAATCCTCATTGTTTTGAGTCTTTCTCTACGCTTTGAAGTTAAGTATTCAAAGTGAGGCTACTCCTTGTCTCTAGGGAGGCTGAAGGTTTGGTATTGGTAACATCTGGAAGAATGTGTTAAGAAAGGTTCCCTTGGTAGGCGGTTGCAACTGGCACCAGCAAATCTTCCTACCAGGAGCCTTTCATCTCCGTTTGAACATGTGGACGTGGCCCTGACCTTGGGAGGAGTCAGAGGGCTTACTGCTATCAGGCTGACTGAGGTGTTATCACTGTATTGAGCACTCTGTGCCTTTCTTTCCTCACCCTAGACTGAGCTAGTGTATGGGGATACTCTTTACATTGTATTGGAATGTCAACAACTACTCTGTCAGATTCCTGGTGAGAATTAATCCAGCAAATGTCTGCTGTCAAATTTCCATTTCCAAGTAAATTGTATTTGTAAATACCATTTCAGAAATAAAGATCACAAAATTAGAATAAAAAACATGATAAAAAAAAGAAGCCAACAACAGTGTTTAGAAAAAGTAGAAAAACAAAAGAGTTACAGTTCAAATGCAGAATGTGGAGTTTCAGATCTGGGGCCTCATGCATAAAAGAGTGCGCAGTTTTGACACTAAAGCTTGGAGTATGGAAAAATTTAGAAAAGTGCGGCACACAAAAAAAATTGGATACATAAAGTCATGCGCAAAATCTGTGTTATTGAAAACAGCATATGGAGATTCAAAGTAATGTGCACTAAGTACGATAATTTTCTAGAGTTTCTGTTTCTATTAAAAGTTATAATTAAAAAGAAAATATAAAAAGTGCATAATATTTGTGCTAACAAAAACATGCTACTCACAAAATTATGAAAAAATTTTGCAAATAACAGCAGGGATGTAAATTGTTGGAAAGTTTGTTGGGAGCAGTGCTGGTTATAAACTCCAACAATTTCTGAGAGGAAGGATCTACAATAATGCATTTTGTGCACCTAATATTATGCACAATCATAGTTAGACCTTTGCACCTGAGATTGTACCAAGGTGCCTTTGCAAAGTCTGTCACTGAAGGACCGCAGCAGTTCTGGAACAGCTTCATGCTGTCATGAACTGCTGCAGTAAAACAGAGTATTTTAATAATAAACAGTTACAGGTGACATGCAGTTAGGTGCAGGCACAGACATGGAAGAATCCAGCAAAGAACAGTGAAAAATAAGAACCATAAATACAGAATGAGGTGTGGAAAATGGAATGAGATAAACTATTCAGAGCAAATGTGGTCCAGTTGCAGCTGGGAGAAACCAGGGAAACAAAGGGAACTGAAAACAAGCCCTTTGTAAATAGGAAAATAATGTCAAATGTTAAAAAAAAAAAAAAAGCACAACATAAGAACACACTAAGACACTAATTAGAAAGAAATGGACAAATATGGCAACACGATTCTAACAATATTGAACACTGGGAAGCAAACAGACAATGGCAAGACTTACTGAACACAAACACAAAAGAAACTAAAATGCAAACACCTGTGAATCCCTGACACATGCACCGGGTGGGACTAGTGCTGACTTGTCATATACACAGCTATGTGTATAGGAATATATGTATGTGTGTGTCTTTTAAGTTCCTCTACCACAGAACATGGTCAGCAGGTAATTCCCCACAGAAGCTCATCAACGTCAGTGAGGAAGAGCATAATGACAAGCAGAACCACTGAAGCAGACACCAGATTGTTTTCTCACTTACCAGCAAAGGTGCTTTCTTCCTGAGGATCGGACTAAGACTGCAAAGGTTGTCAGATGTCAGATCCTTTTTCAATAAAATACATCAAAGTCTGTGTTTGAAACTTAATCAAATGTGTAAAAGATTTCAGGGGGTGTGACTTTTTTTTTTTTTTTTTGCAAAGTGCTGTAGTATCTGTCGCTGCTCAGATTAAAATGTCCCCACAATCTCAGTTCTGTTTTTATACAGTGAAATGTTCTCATTGATCCTTTGCATTTAGTGTGGGACTTGTCTGCTGCTTCATGGAATGGCATGTACTGTAGGTTACAGGTTAACAATAATTAAACTTGAATACAAGAACCATGTAGAGTTATGATTTGGAACTTATTTCATTTTCTCTCTAAACTCTTTAGGACCAAACTACTAAAATACAGAACCAGGACCAGCAAGTGCTAGTTGGGTTTAAAATCTCAAAATGGATTTAAATAGATTTTGGTCTGCATCTCTGGATCAGATAACAGGCTGTATTATGGGGCGACATGTGATCCAAATACCATCACGGCTTCCTCTCACTGCTTTGCCACCATCACTCACACACCTTCATTGTACTTCTCTCCAAGTAGGTCAGTGAGTGTGGTGCACTGTATGTGCATGTGACCCAAACACTGCACCATCCAGGATTCCTAGCACATTTCCCATTCTTCCCAAAACAACTGTTGGGCTAATGAACTCCCAGCATGGCACATTATGTCCCAACAAGCATTAAGTATATTCAACACAGCTGCTAGAGGCTTTTTATGCAGCCCTGTCTATTGTTAATCATTTCCCACAGTGTCATCATAAGGGCAGATGGAGTCACACAAATAACTCACCTCATTGGCTTGGCACTACAGGAGACAAGGGATGAATGGTTGCAAATGTAAATGTCCTACTGGACAAAATCACAAACAAGGATTTTCCTTACTCAATAAAACTGAAGGCAACTGAAAGCAATCTTCATTATCACCTTCTCAGCATAGCACATGCTTTTTATTGAGTCTTAAAACTCTGATCAGGCAAGAGTAGCATTCTAGGGTGTTTTTGATAAAAATGTGAATTCTGGAATGGATAAACATAAAATAAAATAAACTGTAATATTGGTAGTAGTAGTAATAAAAGATTTTATTTATAATGACTTTTACATCTCCTGATCTTCAATAGATAAAAAAACCCTGTTGTGGTTAAAATGGTTAAAGCTTTTGTATTTTTCTCTTATTCTATTTAATTGTGCTACAAGTTTTTTAGATTTGCATGTATAAAGGTATGAAATACACAATAACATTATCCACAAGAGGAAATGAGACAGAATCTTCCATCCCATCAATAAACACTCAACAAAATCATTTTTGGTATAAAATACTTTAATAAATAATAGGATTTTTCTGGAAAAAAAAGCCAACTAACAAACCAAGAGTTTTCCAAAATTTTGTACAAAATCATTAAAAAAATTCTGCACATTCAACTCCTCTTCCAGGGCTAACACATAGTACATTTTACAGTCAGAAATTGAGTGTAGGTTCTCTTTCATCACCATTATTAACAATTAAAAAAAAAATCTATTTTCATACACAAATATTGACAGTATTTGACGTTACCCCATAAACATTCAAAAGAGTGAACATCAACGATTATACAACTTGTTCCCTTCATAAAACCAGGAAAATATAACACAGGGAAACAAAAATGATAAGAGACTCATGCCTACAGCATGAACTTTCCCATTCCTACCATGAGGGTGTTGCTAAAGGCCACTTCACTATCAGGCACCCCAACACTCTATAGTGATTACACTGTCAACAGACTGTAAAACTGTAGATCTGAACCTGGAACATGAGGAGGCTAAAGAGGTTACAGCCGGCAGTCTCAAGAGAGACTGCCGGCTGTAACCCATGAAGTGTGAACTGAAAATAGAAATCAGAAGCATGTAAGAGCCAACCTTTGCTGGTATATGTAACATTTTTGTGTCAATTTCAGTTCAGTAATCTAAAAAGACAACATGCAGCAGAACAATGCAGCCAAAGTCCACACATGTTAACATGCTGATCTATCTTCTCATCAGTCCTAACTTGCTTTCTTCTCCCTATTTCACACTATCCCCACATCATGATTCTGCCTCCACTTTTCTTAACTGTGGGGACTGAAGCCTTTTCCATCATGCATTTCCTGTTGCATCTATTTTAAGATACATGCACAAAGGCATGAAATGGGTAATGGAGGCTCTACCAACAATATCTGATCTGTGCATACTCAGTTGTGCATCATTATGTCTGCTAAGCGAATGTCATTGATAGGTAAGTGTCTGAAATTTACATTACTTGTCTTCTGAGAGTGTGTTTAGAATCGGGAGCACAACATACATAATTTGGTCTGGATTCGGCTAAAGAGCAACATGAACATAACATGTCTATATCATGAATAGTGAACTGTTTCAATCAGAAGGCCTACAGGTTGTTATGCTGTTCAAAACAATACTTTAAACTCATAGGATAAAACAAGGAAATTCAGAGCCTGACCTTGTACTAAGCAAGGACATGTATCTGTTTTTCTTTAATGTTGGCATGGTTAGGTTTTTGTGTTAAGATCATAGCAAGAATACAGTAATACTGGGACCAGTGATAGAACAGTAACAAACTATACAATGTCTTCAATGGGGGTTTTTTAAGAACAAAATGTACTTTTGGGAACATGGATTCAGGAAGGGATGAAAAAACACATATCATTTTGATAGCTCAAATATGCCAAAACTAAATATGAAAAGTAGCTTGTACAACCATTCGCAGAGCTAAAACAAATGTAGCATTTGCACTTTAATAAGAGGAACAAATACTCTTTAAACAATTCAGTATTAATAATTAGGTTTGAGAATTTACAAAATCTGAAAATGATTCAAATAAAATCTCCCATTAATAAATGGAATGACATAAAAATCCAAACATACAGGAAGCCTTATTCTTAAAAATCTCTTAACTTACTAAAATCAAATATACACAGTAATTTCTGTCCTATTTACAAGTGTTCTGTACATCACAATAAAACAAGCGTTAGAGGCAAGATGTTTGTGATTATAGCCACTTTCCCTTTATATGTATTAAGAATCTTCTATTGTAAGGAAGGGAGAAGTTAGCAGTTCAAGGCACTTTAATTAAAAAAAGAAATACTGAAAGATCACTGTGTAGTAAAACAGGAGACAATTCTCATTTTAAAAAGACAAATGCCAGAAATTCCAAGCTTCAACAAAAATAAAAAAGTTAAAAAATTAGAGAAAAAAGCTATTCTATGCATCAGTCAGCCAGGTTAATATGCCAACTTGCACACAATGTAAATCTTTTGTTTAGATGTCAGGGTTTGGGCTGAAGGTAAAAGCAGTCAGCTACCTTAATGATAAAAACAGAAAGCTTCAGCTTCCCTGTAATGTTTTGAACCAAAAAGTGAAGCTTGTGGACTCCATAATCCCTGAAGCACTTGTTTTTTTCATGCTGTTTTATAAGTTTCTTTCTTGATTTAAAAAAGCCTCCAGCTGCAAATAAAAGACTTAAACAAGGCATTATAAACTCAACAGAAAATGAAAGCATCTGCAGTCTTCATTTGTGGTGCAAAAGTTTTAAAGTCTGTGACGCTGAATTTATTTGTTCACACACAGAGGTCTGTAATGTCCTCGCTAAACTTGGCTGCATTCAGGTTTTTACATCGGTTGTCTTTGGGGTTGTATGCCGTCCGATGCGGTGCCTTCACTGGGCCGCTGCGTGTCATGCACATCACCTCTGCCTTTATGATGGTGCTCCTGTCCTGAGCTCCCACTATGGGACACTTGTGAGACAAACACTTGTCCCCCAATCCCAAGACCATCTCCTCATCTTCCTCCAGCTCCTGCTCCTCCTCATCAGCCTCATCACATGTCCTGTCAGAGGGGCCTATTAATTTCTTGCATTCGTACTGAATGTCTTTGTCTCGGTTTTCTTTTGGGGTATTGCTCCGCAGGGGCTCCAGCTGGTTGTTAACGGTGGTGTCTTCGGACAGGGCGGCTCTCTCTCGCTCTTTCTTTCTTTTACGGGTCCACCAAACACAGACAACAAGGCAGAAGACCCAGAGGAGGCTGAAGACAACTCCAAGCACAGGGACTAAAAAACCTTAACAAGAATGATATAAAACATTTTAGAATTAGAAGTTGACTTAAAACATTTATCTACATACAATTAAAGGGGTTTGTAGGGGTATAAAAATACACCCTATTCGCAGGCAGATGAGATTTTAACTATATTGTTAAAAAAACTAAAACACATCCTTAACTTTTTGGTTACAAATAGAGTAAAGGTTTGAAAATCACAAACTGTGATCTTTATATTGATCTTTGTTTCAGTTCAGTTTTAATCACAAAGTTTTTTGGATTTTGAGAAAGAGATGATCAAATTTGATTAAAAAATGATGAAAGCCCTTAGAGAAGCTCAGGAGCAGGTGCTGAATTTGCGATTATTAGTGGCTAATTGTTAACCAGTTGCAACATAGAATGCAACTGGTCCCTCTTTCTGCCCAGGTCCAAATGAGATCTAGATCTCAACAGGATTTACCTGGTTAAATAAAGGAAATAATAATAATAAAAAAACTATAGCAGAACCAAATCACTGTGTATTTTTTAACTGAAATCCCAGAATGCTCCAAACCAGAATATTTCATATTCAATAGTACTAGAGCCATTAAACTGTTGTCAGACAACTTAATGTTTTGGTCAAAAAAACACAACACAATTTTTATTTAAAACCAAATAAATAAGTTGTCTGTTCAAGTTTCAAATGTATGTAAATGCATTATTTTCATCAATGGAAAAAATACAGAGCTTAATTTCAGAATTTAGTTAAAACAGCACAATTAAAACATAAAATATTAATGCATTCTAGTGTGTATTTTTGTTTAAAGGCACAATTTCCTCTATTGCAGTTTAGCATGTAGCAAAATCATTTTTTACAGTAGCAAGCATAACTTTTTATCTTAATAAAAGAATTGTTGCAAGTCAGCTTACATTTCTTCTAGTGAAAGAGTCAAATTTCATCAGACTTTATTGGTTGACTGTTTTATGGAGGAACTTATAATAGTCTTTAATAGAACCAACTTTTGTGATTTAGATTCCAACTTCTCACAGATTTCAAAAGAGAATTCCAACATTTAAAATGCTCCAAGTTACATAATTTTTAACTAACAGATATAGTCACAGTACAATGTTAAAAGCTCTTTCATTACTTCTTCTGATTACTTATTTAGACATGCTGTTTCTTAAAAAATGTTTGCTAATATGCCCATTGAAAACAAACAGCTCATATCACTTTTTTCACCATGAAGACAGCTGGTGGATAGCTCCTCACACCGACAAGAAAATTGTTGTTCTACCGCAGTGTTTAATAAGCTAGCATTGTCAGTGAAGTCAGAAGAGATGCAGCCCGAGAGTGAAATTATTGTTGAATTGTCAATAAGTCAATGAAGCACCTATTCACACATTAAACTTCTAATTACAATCATGTAAGTGTTTCTATTAATGGTTTGGAACATATCACAGTGCTGGGTTCACAGTTTTTCTTTTGTTTTTCCATGTTTTTTCCTATTAATCTTCCAAGAAGAATCATTTTATTTTTGATTTCTATAACACCCTGGACCTGTGGCTTGTACAGAATACTGGCACTGATAAAGAACAGAATGAAGAAAAAAAATCAGTTTTGCCAGGGAAGTTAGACTCACCTTCAGCTCGACATTCAGCCTGCATCTCCACTCTGGCCTCCACTACAGCTTGAAGGATGGTGCTGTTGTGGTATTTGGACAATGCACTAGTAATGGCAGCTGCTGCATTCTGGATATAGCCACAGTCGTTGTCCTTCAATTGTCCATCCATTTCAAAAGACTGCAGAGAAGGAGACATAAAGAAAGACATGAAACAGTTTTTAATGACTTGGGTGTAATTATTGAATTTTATTATTTT